CGTGTCTCATATTATTTGTTATATTTTTATTATTCATTATTTTCACTTGACTCGCATAAATAATTTTGTTCGAAGAACATTAATATGCAGTTGTACTTCGCAGCATTTCACTTGCAATTTGCAATTTCTAGTAATAAAGAATATATTTTAACTTATGATTATTTATTCTTTTTTATGCTGCAGTCACTTTCAATACACATAAACATTAAAGGAAAGAAACAGAGATGAGCTTTTTGTATAGGAATTTGGATAATAGTATTGTTTTTTGGAACAAAAAGACAGTTCCTCTTCAATTTCGTAAAAGTGAAAATGTAAATTAATTAGGTTTTGTATCAAATGTTAGAGTCTCATTTCCATTATTAAATGTACTGCTGCTACAACTTCTAATATTACAATCTGGACACAAATTTTAACAGAAAATTTAAAAAAAAATATAGCAGATGTATTTGTTATTAATACCTGACAATAACATATTAGTAGTGACTCATTATATTCCTTCAATAATGATGAAAATATGCTCGTTTTTTACACAAAATTCTACATACACTATATGCTAAATATACATCTTTTGTGCTCACCATATTACAATATTTATATAAGAAATTGGTTGTAATATAAAAATTCAAGATAATTATGGTCGTTGTGAACAGGAAAACTTTCAACTTTGCATATCGTGGCATTTAGTGTCCCAAAATCTAAAATTTATCTTGATATCAGCTAAAATTGTATTGCTACCTGTACATGTTCTACATATCTTCTCTTTTATGTAATTTTCATGGTGTTTCTTGGATTATTAAGTTTTCCCACAAGCAATATGACGGTGTTGATTTGTGTTTTCTTGATATCTAATCCTTGTTTCATCATGCAATGTACATCCAAATGCAAAAAAAAAAACAAAAAAAAAAAACCACCACATAACATTAATGATATGTGTCTATGCTGAGGTAAAAACACATTATAAAGTAAAGCTCTGTTAAGATTATCAAATTTTCTTTGACAAAAAATTGTTGTATGCCCATATATAGTCATGATGTGCCTATATATGGTCATGATGTGATGTCATCATGACCATATTTAGGCATGTCACATGTGTTTGTCAAAAGTTTTGACAGCTTCAGTGGTAAGAATACAATTAGTTATTTGAATTATATATTCTATATTTAAGTAAGTAATTTTAATAATCTTGGTCTTTCACTTTTTACATTTTTAAACTTATATTTTTATACCATAGCTAATCATGTAGTTAAATTTAGTTTTCTGGGGCTCCAGATATTTGTCATGTTGACTTTATTGCTTTTGGTACCCCAAGGCGCTTGTCTGAATAAATATATGAAATAAAATGATATTATGAGCTTCAACTGAAAAGAGACACACATATCTATTCCAATATTTCTCGTAAAACTCTTACTATAGCCTGGAAATCTATACAAAGATTTTTGTAACAAAGCCTATAAATCAGTGAAAACCAATCGGTAACTTATTTGATCTTTATAAATGAACAATTCAACGTTTTAAGTGTTTTTCTAGATTTATTTTATAGCAGACTCCTAAATCCTGACTGCCAACAAATTGCAGCTTGAAGTGGCTCTCATCATATGGATTGATTTTATAATTAATTTGAAGCCAGAATGCATTACTCCATGCATACTGAAAATGAAAACATTCTGAGGTTTTCACCATTGATTGGCTATGATGCAGAGAGTATAGTCATATTTAAACTGTACATACAAATCTACTGATCTGAAAATGACCACATGGTCATGTGAGACAATCACATGACCACAATCACATGACTACATGAGATTATCTTGACTACATGATCATTTAAGAGTAGAATATCACGACCACTCCAGCCTACATGACTATATATCATGTGAGATTATCAAATGCTGTGAGACTATCACATGACGACATGTGACTATTTATTATATACCTAGGTATGACTATCATATTTTAAGCAAAATTTGCATGATTAAATATACAGTAAAACAAAAATTATCCTAGATATTCTATTAATCAGTTCTTTTGTAAAATATATTTTTTAATAAAATAAATATATGAAACTTGTCTCCTCAGAAAGTGCTAACAACATGCAATGTATAATCGATTCATGTACAACGAGTTAAGATGTGTGAAAATGTTTAACAAGGTGTAAACCCAATAATTGCTTTAGCTGTTACTACCATACTGTAGATCTCTCACATTTGTACAAACAACAAGATGTCAACGTAACCTATTTCTCAAATTGCAATGCTTATTCAACAAAATAATTCACTGACCAAACTAAATAAACATTACTCCAATCGACAATAAACACAAGACTAGAGACCTGGTTAAAAGTAAAGTGAAATATCTATATCAGACATCTCAAATTATCGGTAGAGTATACCTCTGTGTTAAGCTATGAAAACTTGAAAAATAAATTCAGTATTTGGATTGTTTACAGCTTCATATCTTTCAGCTGAAATTTATGACAAAGTTCCTTGCACCATACTCATACACAGGCTCTTAAATTGTATGGTATTCAATTTAAGGTTTGTAAATCGGTGACAACTTACTTATTTTGAGCTGTACAACACTGGATGGATACAACTGATTGATTCCTTCTTAATTACTATTTAATATTGAGGATTTTAATACCATTTTTATATCGAAGTTGAAATATTAAGATATGATAATCAAATGGTTATAGTTTATAAGAAATTTTCAAATGTTTGTATAAATGTAACTTAATGTGTATTTCCATCACTGTGTGTAGTAAACCTTAAACATGTGTGCATTGCAATGCTGTGTACAATTTTCCCATGCTTAATATGCAGTTGGCATATCTACGAGAGAGCATGGGGGTACATGCTTCCCCAACTAAAGCTGGCATCCACCACGCATCCCTACTGGAAATTTCCTGGGCAAACAAATATGCTTACAGTAGGTATAAATCACCAAAAGAATATAATTTCATTTTGCCAGCTAGGCCTAGATCCCCCTTAAATAGCAAATAAACATTGAGGCCCTCACACTAACCTCCATTCCCTCTCATTCGCCCCAATGTGAATGGAATAGAACGCTCTACAACTTGCATGCATCTTTCAACTCATACAGCATTATAACAGTTAGCATCTTACACACGTCTCCATTTTTTAATTAGCTTGCTTTGCAAGGAAATGTGAGGATTAGCTTCAGTTAAAAACCAAATATCAAAAGGAGTTGTATGTTCCAACATTTTAAATTCTTAAGAATAAAAGTCTATAAAGACCATGCATTGTATAACATGAAATAATATATTTCCAAGCATTCCATTTCTCAATTAGCAATATTTTATTTTCTTAAAAAATAATATCTAATATAAAACTATTCTAAAATATAAGTACAATTTGTTATATTTTAGTGTTTTGATTTTATTTTTTCTGTACTTCATCACCTTGGGATAAGCAAGATTTATTTTGCTTTCTCTTTCTTCTACTTTCTGTTTCCCATCCCCAAGTGTGAGTTAACTGGAGTAATCTTAGTTTGATACATCATCTGAACTCTAATGTTTACTGTACATTATTATTTATTTAATATTTATTTAATCTTTATACTGTGGGAATTTTAGTCGCACATCAATTATTTTTGAATGTGGTACAGTGTAAAACAGAAACATTAAATCCAGGCTTCGGAAGAACAACAAGTTTTGATATGATGTACAAATAAATTGGGTGTTTAATAAAACACTCATGAATGATTAATAACATACAGATTTTTAAATATTTTATTAAATTTTTAAAAATCATTTTATTAGCTTGGCTTTATGAGTGAAAAAACAATGGGGGAAAAATTAAAATCAACAATACTTGATCATAAAGGGGCAGATCAAATTATTTGAGTTAAGCTTTCTTGAATAACAAATGACGAAGATATACTGTATGTCCATTAAACAAACTCTTCATCCCCAACGGCTTAAGAAAGAACACTGTCCATTTGTTCAATTGAGAAAAGGGGATTTGCATATCTGAGCTATAATGTGTAAACTAACAGTGAAAACTAAAATGATTAGCTAACAATTAAGTCTATCTCTACTGTACAGTATTTCCATAGTAATCAGCTGTACAGTACATCATGTTTCATAGTTTGTTTCATATTACAAACAAGTTCAAATAGTTTTTTCATAGCATATAGTATAAACAACAGAATGTAAGCACAACTTTCTCATCATTGGTATTGCAGTTATCACGACTACAATTTGGTCTGAAGAAGAATCTGATTTACAGTACCTCCCACAATGAAATTATCTTTGTAAATTTCCTCCAGCACTGAACATAATATTTATATACACAAAATGTAGCCCAACAGTGATTGCCTAGAGGTAACAAAAACTCTTTCTCCATGTCTACTTGGGAAAATGTGCAATTGATGTGAGGTTGCAAAAGGTAAGTTAATTAAGATCTAAATTAATAATTTGGATCAGAGAGAAGTCCAATTTGTGGAAGAACAATTACACACACTGTGAGTTTTTGACAACATAATTACAAAGTGCAAAGCCATATTGGGAAGTTATTGTAAAGGTGCGAATGAAAAGTGCACAATTAAACAGCCTACTATATGACAATAAACACTGTGAATGTACACTACATGCACAAAAACAAATGTTCATATTTTGAAATTAGTTTTAAGAGAAAGAGAAATTAAATTAGATGTTGACTAAAATTCTTGGCTTTCACCTACAAAAACAAGCTTATAAAATTATTTTAATTCTTCCTGTGCAAAAGTTTTTGTAACAGAATTTAAACAAAAATAACACATTATGTCAAAAGCATGTATTTGTAAATCTTAAGTAAGTTTTGAATAAAATTTAAATGACAGATTTCTGAGCATGTCAATGTTAATGATGAATTACTTGTTTAAAACAATACCTAACAGTCTCCAAGGTGCTTTCACACTAACTACACACAAATCAAGTTAACGATAAAGAATTAATGTAAATCATTCTAAAAGCCATGTTGATCATGGGCCAACATTAATAGCAATTCTCACCAGTATATGAAATTACAAAATCCAGAAGCAATTGACCTCACACTCCAAGGGTTTATTATTGATCCTTGTCGACTGCTTCACATGTTCTTACACTGATCAAGAATCGACAGTGAGTCTATACCTCAAGCATTTATAACTGATCCTGGCTAACGATTCGTATATCTTAACTGTGAAACTTACCACCAAAATGTAAATGATTGGGACGTGATCTGCGACATTAAAGTAGAAGTTTCGTAGACAAGTAATCTTACATTGTATCCTGTTAACTTTATTATTTCCTGGCAACCACTTTATGACTTGCTTCCGATTAAGCATGATGTCAGATACTTATTGAAGTAATTAGACGTTGCGGTAAATGGCAGAAGTACGCAGACTTACACGGGAAACAAACACTTTCACCTGAAGATGTCATCATTTTTTAGATTCTAATTGGCTAAAAAAGTATTTAATGATTTTGAAAATTGTTAATGTAGAATTTCACTAGCTTAAATTGTTGATCTGATGTTCTTATCTTAAGTGGGGTTGCATTCATCCTTTTTATGTATGATGTATTACAATAATGCAGTAAAATTACAATAATAATAATAATAATAATACAATAATATAACAACACTAACAATAACAATAAGAATATATAGTAATAATAATTAAAATAAACAAAACTATAGTAATTTGGTAATAATGATTAACAATAACTTTAATTCGATGGCTACTGGCTCTCTGGTAACGATCTGTTTCCCACATCATCACATTCACAATACCATCTGTGCTTGCATGCTTTACTCAATATTGAGGTCCAGTGTAATACCCATATAGTTACACATAGATATGCATAATAAAATGTAAACATTCTGATTGATACATTTTATATATATTTTTAATGGTTTTTGCATTGAGATTATTTAATAGAAATATGCTAACCTACAACTGAGGAAAAACATGAGGGAATAACAGGAAAGGTGTGGCACAAATATCCTTGGAAATAAAAAGAAAAACCAAGATCTTTCAGCAACAACAGTGAAAATTAATGGTTTTTAAGAATGCTAGTTGTCATGGTAATGTATGCCTGAGGTTTGGGTTATGCATTTTTATGTCTTTTTAGAGGCAATTTATAATAAAAGCACTGTACACCTATGTACATCTTTATACTATAGTTCTGTATTTGTTCGCAATGAAATAAAATTGCATAATTATCTATGTGCTATCCTACATAATACATGAACAGGTCCTATGTGTTACTTGAACCATGGAGCTTTAGGACAAGAATAGCACCATATACCACAGAGATCATCAAACTAAACTCAATTGACTGACATATGTATTCATGGATAAAGTAAACCTTGAATCCTGCAAGATAGATAAATAATCTGAAGTCATGTTGCCAACTTTCTCTTTCCTTTGTTATTTTTTTCAGAAACTAAAGAACATGGAAAATGCACTTCGACCCATCTGTCAAAATGAGGCTTTATGATTGGCTGTGAAGGAAATATGACACCCTAGAGGATTGAACTTGATCCATCAGATTTACAAGTAAAGCACTTTGACAATAATTTAAAATTCCATTTTTATATTCGGAGATACATAGTGTAATAACAATCTTTAAGGATACGGAGCTAAATTTAAAACAAAGATTAGAAAATTTTAAAGTAACATATACTTAAATATTTATAATACAGTATTTCATATTATTAGAATTTAGTTATCAAATCTGATTTTGTAAAACCAAAAATAAAAAAAGATGAATAAAAATATGTTGGGTGTGACAAATACAGACGAATGAGACAAGCCTGATATTAATGGGCCGTGGGCAACAACAGAGCGATAGCATATCAATTTAGGGGAATATAGATATACCGCCTACATTTATAAGGAACTCTAATAATATCCAATATTTAATGTACTTAATCAAAATTATGATTATTTTCCACCAATTAAAATATGCATAATTCATTATTTTCAACATTTGAAGGGTTTCTGGATTTTTAACATAGGAAATATATTTAGCATTATTCTTAATATTCAATCTTTTCAGCACAGAAATTCAACTACCATTTCCTCCTACAGATTACACAGAAATCTTCTGCATGAAAAAATAGACCAATCAATTACTCAGAATAAAATTGTCTGCCATGCTATCACAATGGATACAAGCTGACCCAAGGGGGTTCACATGACATTTGCCTAAAAGGTTGATCATCCCATGTGCAAAGTTCTGCACATGTTGGTCTTGAATGCAGCATTGATTTCAAACACTTCCTGTCAAATATAATTATGGGATATTCAGGGCCATACAGGAAATCATGTATTGGCTATACAGTGGTATAGTAATTTCTAATATTAGCTTATAGGTTAAAAATGTCATAAAAAGAATGTAAACAATTATCCTAAAACAATCATAAACCACAAATCTACCTTATCCAAGTGAATACAGTATGGAATAAGATAATCTATAACAATGAATGACAGTTGGTAATGATGATAATGATGATAATACTTGCATTACATTATACAATGAATATTGAGATGATGCTGTTGATGAAGATGGTGATGTCATAATATGAGGACAGATGATGATGATGATAATGATGATGATGATGATGTCATAATGTGGATGGATGATGATTAGGAAAATGATGATTATGATCATGAATGATAATGAAAATGATGGTAATAATTATGATGATAATGATGATGTCACATAGATGATGAATGATGACAATGATTATGATCATTATAATGAAGATGATAAAGATGATAAAAATAATATTGTTATGGTGATGACAAAATATCATTTAATAACTTAAGCACAATTTATCAAATCAGTCTATTTTATCAATTTTATTTTAATATTTATTAAATTAATATTAGGATGTCTGACCCATAACTGAAATATGGTGATATTCAAAATACCATGGATAAAAAAAAGTTCAGTGATCCATTTAGAATTTAGATGTCAATTTGTTTCAATTCAAGTATTTCTTTCTCTTGGGACGAAAAACGTGTCAGAAACATTCTTCAATAAGAATTTGAGCAATTTTGTCGATTCTACTTTAGATGAACGATTTCACCTATCCTTTGCTCATTTATCATATTTTTTTTTTCATTTTGCAATTGGTACATTAAAAACTAATGGAGAGTGTATAATGGAACAATCTTCTTCAATAAGGTTCAATTTTCTAGACAAAATAGAAGAATGACTGCGGTTTCACAAAATTACAATAATGAACATGTAGAAATCTGACTTTAATTACCAGATAATAAACGAGTGTGTGTATCAAGATATGTTAAAAATCATTTAATTTTCTGTTATTTCCCATCCGTCTTACTTTATGCATCAATAAATTCACTTGGTTATTTCTTCATTTTGTGCTTTTATTTTTTGCCTTTCTTTCCCATCTAACAGCAAGTATGCTGTATAAGTATATGCATCTTTTCAGATTTCACAAGGTTTAGATTGTTTATAATAAAATCTCTGTGGCGATCTAGCTTGTTACAACTTTTTTCTAATTATTAAATGTTGTAACATTTTCTGTTAAAGTGGAAAGAGAATATGCAACTCTGTTTTTGAATCCGTAGTTTTAACAAAATAAATATGAGTCCATGTGCAAAATTTCCAAGCAAAAGAAGCAAGGATTTGCTAAACAAGATATATGATTCTAATATAACGTCTTCTTGGATCAAACAGGCTTACAAGACTTAAGTAGCGGTTAGATATTAGTACATAAACCATAGCTAATAGACAACGTTTCCCCACACTTCGTATAAATATCTTATTTATACAAAGGAATATATATTTTCTGTTCATTTCAGTTTCATGTTGTATTGCTGTCTTTGAACAGGGGCGACAGTGACGGACTTTAAGAGTTTCTATGTCGTCCCTTGGCCATTTTTATGTACCTGTAACTTTGATTTATTTACTTTCCATGCATGTTTATAAATGGTTAAATAAATGTTGAAGAAAAAACAAAAGAAATGAAAAAAAAATGCAAAAAAAACACATACCTTTGATAATTGTCCCTGTGACTGACTACGGGGTGCTGTGGGGTATCCCCTGGGTTCAGAATTTGACTGTGAGTAGGGATAGTTTTGTTGATGGTACGATGGATTTGATATACTCCTTGGTAATGTTTTAGGACTACGCTGAATTGGTGGAGGAGGCCCTCTATTGTTGTATCCATTCTTTGTATCCTGCCATCTGTCTTGGTCTCCATGATACCTGAATAAAGAGAATCCGATTAATGATGTACTGTATTGTGTTTAAAATCATGTGACATGCCAATATCTGTTAGGCTGTAGTTGGTTGATTGTCTGGGAATGTTCATAAAAAATAAGAAATATAAATACTAAAGGGCATAACTGGATACAAAATATGAGCATAAAAGTGTGAGATCACTATAAAAGTGTATGAGAGTTGAGCATACTGAGTGTTAAAACAAAGAATAGGCTGAAATCCTGTAAGATAACTCAGGTTATTGACAGACTTTAAAATAAAAAAAAACACTCAGTAAACAACACGAGCATAAGGGGTTGCAAAACAGCATCAAAGTGTGAGATTACAATAAAGGAGTATGAGAGCTGAGCATTCTTAGTGTTAAAACAAAGAACAAACTGAGATCCTGTGAGATTCAATAACTCAGGTTATTGACAGACGTTAAAAGTAAAAAACACCCTGTAAACAACACGAGCATAAGGGGCTGTAAAACAGGAGCATCAATTTGTGAGATTACAATAAAGGAGTATGAGAGTTGAGCATTCTCAGTGTTAAAACAAAGAACAGGCTGAGATCCTGTGAGATTCATTAACTCAGATTATTAACAGACGTTAAAAGTAAAAAACACCCAGTAAACAACACGAGCATAAGGGGCTGCAAAACAGGAGCATCAATGTATGAGATTACAATAAAGGAGTATGAGAGTTGAGCATTCTGAGTGTTAAAACAAAGAACAGGCTGAGATCCTGTGAGATTCATTAACTCAGGTTATTGACAGACTTTAAAAGTAAAAAACACCCAGTAAACAACACGAGCATAAGGGGCTGCAAAACAGGAGCATCAATGTGTGAGATTACAATAAAGGAGTATGAGAGTTGAGCATTCTGAGTGTTAAAACAAAGAACAGGCTGAGATCCTGTGAGATTCATTAACTCAGGTTATTGACTTTAAAATTAAAAAACACTCAGTACACAATGCGATCTTACCTAGATTCTTGATACCGTTCCCGTTCATGGCCACGATCGTAAGTACTTGAGGTTGTATAATAGCGTGGGTCTTGTGAGTTTCTGTACCTTTCTTCGCGTGAATGATTTTCATGTGTATCTCTGTTATCATGTCTCGGTGGTAATCTATTCCTATGATCATATGAACTGGGGCGATCCAGGGGTGAGATTGGTTGATGTCCATCATTGCCCTGATGCCAGTCGTTCTTCCGAACAACATCTGGAACCTTTTATAGAAAAAAAAGAGAATAAAAATTGGTTCAGAAGTCAGTTAAAGTTCATGGTTTTATTTGAACTTGTTTTTTATAGGTTATCTGATATGTTATATTGACTCACTGAGGAAAGTAGTAGATCTTCTACTAATCAAAAACATTATGCACTCCTGTTAATGTACATGACACATTGTGACAACTATTACCATTGATACTACTTTTAAGATGAGTTTCAAGTCGGAAATCTCAAGCTCTGTACACACTATCAAATTTTCTTTGACAAAACTGTTGTACGCTCATATACAGTCATGACGTGCCCATAATGTATATAGTCATGATGTGGCCATATATAGTCATGATGTGCCTATATATGGTCATGATGTGCCCATATATAGTCATGATGTGCCCATATAGTCATGATATGCCTATATATGGTCATGATATGATGTCATCATGACCATATTTAGCCATATCACATGCGTTAATAAGGCCTGTCCACACTATGAAATTTGATTTTACAAACACAACAGAAATAATAAAAAAAGTCATGGCTCAGGATTTGAAGTGGAGGGTATGGGCAGGTTTGGTAGGTTAAATGTAATGTAGGAAGCATCATAATAGTTTGTGAGGCCTCACCACGAAATGTGACACATCGTTGGTGAAATCACATTAAGATATTCACCAAAATAGGAAAAAGTCAAAATTTTTACAAAATTTTGATTTTAATCTTTTTGAATAAACTTGATACTTATACTTTATGATTGTATACTTTTTAAGTGAATTTTCAATTCTAAAACAGAGTTCTTTGCACATACCCTTTAATTCTAGTCCTATTATTTGTACAGGTTAGTTTAGTCTTTGAGTCAGATTTTCTCAAAACGCGGTTCTCATACACCTAAACTTTGAATGCTCACATTTAAAGTTTAGAGAACTCACATTTGTTATATTTGGGGTAAAAATAAACGTTTTCTTTGTTTCATATTATTTTTAAAAGCACTCTGAAATTTTTACAGGGCAGTATAGCAAGCATTATTAAATATTATTATCAATAATAGAGTTTTGAGTTTTAAATAAAATGTATACATTAATTTGGGAACAAAAACATAATTATTCATGCTTCAATTATCAAGGAAAATAGTTTCTTGTTTTTAAGTTTAAAAAAAAAATCAAAATGTTAAAATGTGACGAACATTATTTAAAAACTTGTAAGTAGTTCATCTTTATATTTGACTTACACTATCCTCAACAGCTTTCCTCCTTATCCTTGGTGGACTACGACTCCTGAGAGAATTCGACCGTGCAACACTTATTCCGTTGGTCAATCCTTTCGGAAGTCTATTTAAACTAGGTCCTCGAACAATAGTCTGTGGGAAAAAAACATAAATCAGAAATGTGTTATATATAGTTTTTATTTATTAATAAATTAAAAATAATAAAAAAAAGTATTGATTTGTACTATGGGACAGTTCTAAATACTTCCAATTAGTCTTTATCTGGCACCGAAACTTTAAAAAATTTACTACTGTAAATCTAACATTTACATGTACCGGTACTGCAAAAGCAGGTAAAATTTTCTGAATATTTATATTATTGGTAGATATACTGTAGTTTGGTAGTAGTTATTGAAATTAAAAGAAAAACATGAGCAGCCTCAATAATTTATTCAAGCTGTCTATGGATGATATTGCTGGGTAATTATGCTGGTACTTGATGAGCAAAATTTCAGTTTTGATTAAAAATACTGTGTACCACCTGTGGTAAAATCTGAAAAAAAAAAATGTTCCAAAATTCAAGAAAAACTTGGGATTACTCATGCAAATGGCAATGTCTACTGAAAATGTAATCATCCTGATTTTGTCAATTGAGTGATTGGCTATAAATATGCACTTGCAGACCATTATGTTGTAGGAACAAATTTGTCTGAGCATTTTGTACAGTGCTAGTACTACTGTGTATAGGTACTGTACACCAAAAGGCTATATTCATACACAGCAACTAACGGTTAGTAGGATTCAGATAAATAACATACGCGCTGACCCTTGCATTCATACACAAAACTCCCGATCCAGATATCAAGAAAGATGACGGTGGGATCGGTGGTTAAAGATAAAAACATGCTCAACTTGCTAACGGTTACTGTAGCTCCCGATTCAGATAGAAGGCTCTAGTGTGAACCTAACCATAGCTTCAACTACCAATGTGAGAATTAACACTTTTGAAATTAGAGATATTCTTTGGTGAGAATGAGAGTACAAACTCAACATGAATACTTTATGTTTATATCAGGTGAGATACTGACCTGGATACACCTGCATAGAATCGGTATCCAGGTACTGGAAGTACATCATGAAATAAGCCTAATGATGGATTCCATCCTTTATTTAATTCCCATCTACAGTACTGAACAGCAAATAAGTGGGCAATTACAAGATACAAGAAAACAAACTGACCAATCAGATGCTGTTGTTTTCACATGCAAAGAAGACCCTGGCATTTGTGGGATTATTGCATTAGGATTCTAGGAAGGCAGGCAATAACAACAACCATACTTTCTAATAATATTATTGTTGTCAATTTGTAACATTAAAAATAATTGGGTTAGCTAAGTAATGATAGCAAAGAGAATTCTAATCTTGATATTGTCAAATAAACCTTTTAATAGATTACGGTAATCAGGATTCCTGTATAAAAATGTATTAAAAATCTAGATTCCACAAAAAGAATGACATGACACCCTAGTGTAACATTGCCAACTGACATCTGTGTGAAACAATCCACATTACATGGATGTGAAATGTCGTACATCTAAGTGAATAATTGGATTTTTTAACTAGAATTTTTACCTTGCGAGTCAAATATTTTTTTATTAAATCTTGGATAAATTGTTATGATGTATAATTTATTATAAGATTACCTATTGCATTGATGTTTTATTAGATTTCATCATTCAAATTTGCCACAAAAATTAAACCAATTTATTAAAAAAATTTCCAGTCTTAAATGATGTTGATTTAGGTCTACAGGATGCTCTTTTTCCATAAGTTTTGACAACTTGTTGAAAAATATTTAAGCTATTGTTATTTATCATTTGTTATTACGATTTATTAAATTATTAGATTAGCGCAAAATTTGAGTAAATAACACTCATAACAGAGAGAAACAAGTCGAAAAAAGACCAAGAGTAAATTTATGTGATATTTTTTGTCAACAGGAAAGAATCTGTATGCCAATGGCTAACAAACATTCTGGGAACAGTGCAGGAAAACAAACAGAAGACATCATCACAGCATGTGATTTTGACTGATTTTCAATCTAACAATATATTTAAAGCATTATTTTGAAGTACCTGGATTAAAAGCACACCCATGATACACACCACCAACACACCTTGAACCCTCTACCACCTTTCAAAAGCCCTCTTGTTACCTGCTTTTAAACACAACTGGTACGACCCTTAGGCTAGGCAGGCACAACACGGTGCCATACAAACATTTTACTGCAAATTGACAAAACCACAATCCTCACTTGAAAGACTTGTAAATTGGATATTTGAAGTTAAATTTAATCTTCCAGTAGTACAAAGTTTAAATATCTCTTTTTTATGTTTTTGATTATAATGCAAGTCTCAATAATTTAAATGATAAGTAGGATGTTTTACAATTTGCAAACTTAAGTAGGACTCGTTTAAAATATAAACTCTTGCTGACACTATTGGCAAAAGTTCATCAAACAATAATAACTTAAGGAACAATAAAGTATTCAATGTATTTAAAGTGTAAAACCTCAAATGTATTGTCTACTGTAAGTCAACCAAATTTTCTTGCTTCTTGGTATTATTTGGTATAAAGCACATTCAAATATTATTATTGGGAAAATTTAAGAACATGATGCCCCTAACCTCATTACCATTAATTATATGGTGTAAAGGCATAGGAAAATTGCACTATTCACTATATAAGGCTCCTTAACTCTATCAAAGAATAGAAACTGATGAGGGAGGGAGGTTTTTTTTTTTTTTGTTTTTTTTGTTTTAGCCAACCCCGAACTTATTTTACAGATGTTCACAAGTAAATCATATATAAAAAGTCATAAGCAAGGAATCAAATTTATATTTTAAAAAAAAAGTTTTTGTTGTACCAGTAAACACATTTTCAAGAAATCCTGAGCTTTTAAATTGAAAAGATGGAAAAACGACCGTTTGAAATAAAAATATATGTTGATTGAAAAAAAAATAATAAAATCAGAATTTCCCCAAAAGTGATGAGGGAGGGGGTGATAAACTAATAATTTTTTAAAATTGATTACTATAATTATTGGGAAACTTTAAGAACTCATGCCTCCTAACTCCCATCAATGAGTGTACTGTAGAATTTGTATGAGGTCCAACTTCCCTGATTTTGTATACACGCAATGAAACTTAAAAAAAACATACTATCACAAGATAGGAGGGAGCCCCAACAGAATTTGAACAGAGTTCGAAAAGACCCCTTTTGAAGGACCGCCTTTATTTTACAGTGTTAGTACTTTTTGAAATAGGATTATGTTCCAACCAAACCCAGAGGGTCAGACCTTTTGAAGTTCTATAACCTTTGCTCCCATCCATTCCACCCACCCTCCATCCATTCCACCCACCCTACCTCCCTCCCATTTTGAATCACTGCAACTGGTACTGTATACTCTACAATGGCACTGAAATTGAAAAATTAATGTTAAACTATACCAAGATGCAACTCCACTACATTAAATGCATAGAATTCTAGCGATACACTTTTCTGTACTGTACCGTAGAAAAGACAACAACTATATTAAATAATCACCTTGAGGTGGTCTCACAATTTATTAGCAATTTATTGTAGTATTTATCATGTAACCTCTCAATCAAATCCTCAGTGTTTATATTTCGTTTTAAGCAGTAATTTTGTAGGTCTTTGAAGACACACAGCCAATGTGGAAAGACCACCTACCTACTTAAAAAACTCTAACTAAATATTATCATCATAAAAATGACAAATGAAGAATCACTTATTAAACAAACCTGTTTGGGAATCAGGTCATAGGCATCGAGAAACCCAGTTTATAGAGTACAGTACAGTATAGTACAATAGTGTACAACGCATTTTGTTTAAATGCCTTTTAGCTTTAGTAGAAAAAGCCCCACATAAATATAGGTGGTGTTCTATTTTTTAGTAGGTAAAAGTATGGATAATAACCCCGAGTATGCGATCATCCCTTAAACAAATCATACATAAATTACAATCTCAATTTAAAAGTTAATCTCAAATTGTCATCACATAAAACCATCATTTATATTAATAAATTCATTACATCCACAATCATCTCTCGAATGGTTTTAGAGTACTGTATCTACAACTCCCTGATTCCCACTCTAACTAGTCAGGCCCACTTTTTAAGAGGAAATATTGAAAGTCGGGTGAATGCAATGAATGAACTGTAGAAAATAGGGCACATACACTAGAAATAAGGACCCAACAGAGCTAACTACCACTGCCTGTCACCTACTCAGGGACAACCATCAATCAAAGTGCCCATGGCAGCAAACTTGGCCTTTCCCTATTGTATGCTTTACCACGATTCTGTACATAATACTCCATAGATTTAGTAATGATTATTGAGTCCTTATTAATTGTACCACTTCCTTATTTGCAGATGACCTTTTTCCCATTTTTTCCGTTCTCACATTCATGGCTCCCCTGGTTCACACTCTGTAGGCCTGCTTCAACAGATGAAGACCCACAAGTGGATTTGAATAGTGGTTAAGATGCTTGCCTTCTAATCCCAGGATCCTAGGTTCAAATCCTGTGACAGTAGGACTTTTTCTCACAACTACAAACAACTCACACTCCCTAAGCCTGTACTTATGCATATATATATATATATATAATTTATTTTGTCATTATTATAATATTATTGCTGTTGTTATTATCATTATTATTATTATTATTATTATTATTTGTTTTAACTGGTTCATGTCTTAAAATTTGTTTTACAAACCTATTTTGAACTCCTACCGCACACTTATTTTTTCTTCTTTCTTTTTCTCTCGCTATCTGCTTTTGTTTAGAAAATGTAACTTTAATTGTAATATTTATCGTTAATTAATTTATATTTTATATGTGTGTGGTAAAAAACAATAAAAACAAAAAACAAAACAAAAAGCCTCATGAAGGGACTTAATAGTATTAGCTCCAAATGTTTTAATTTTTCTATCAAGCTTATCAAACCTGCTCTTGAAATTTACACTTGCTCAGTGTATGGGCAGTCTAACATATGCTCTAGAATAAACTTCAAACCAGATTTGTTTTGTAAGCTCTGACCTAGAATCTTGAATCTAGTATTACCTGCTTCACAATGTACTCTATATTGTACCCTCTGTGACCAGACTTTTATGGTGAGATTCCTTACCTCAAACTGTCTTTCTCATTTTGCTAACTCTCACAAATTCTCCTTCAGGCCAAAACCTTTGTTTTGGTGAAAATTTTGACAATGATTGAGAGAAACCCAATTCGTTTGTTAATGTCACCATAGTTACTCATTTTTGGCACCTGTTCTTGAAATATTCCTAACATGTGGTTGCACCGACTTTATTAAAAAAATATATATTATATTTACAAATGCTGCTGCTAGTTGGAAATGTACAATGGAATAATTTCATAGTTTCCTAATGTTTTCTCAGTGGTGAATCTATTGAAGTTGACTATGGACATTAAGAATGAGCCTAATTTGACCACCAATTAGAAAAATGGGCTCCTCTCCTTATGTTATCTTTTCAAAATCCTTGTTTTGTAGTCCTGCTGTAACCATAAGGACAGAAAATTACTGGTAGTGTTGCTTTCATTTTCAATGAAAATATGAATGGCATCCATCCAGAAAGCCAGGAATATTTATTTGTTTATTTAGGTACACAGTACAAACACAATCAGTATTAAGTGTAATGTAGCTAAATGCTGGAAATTCTGCGTCATAAATTGAAATGTATAGTACAAGGCTGTCAGCTATATATAATTCCTCAAATTATATAATAGTCAAGTAGAAATCTGATCCCCATCTCAACTATCATGCCTGAGCTGAAGTAGTGTCCCCTTCCTCATAATCACCAGGGGCGGATTTAGGGCCCGGTCCGGACCCCCTTCCCCTTTTTGGAAAGCAAAAAAAAAAAAAAAAAAAGAAAAGAAAGGAAAAGAAAAAAATTTGATCGCCCAAAGCGCATCAGAGGTTATTTTCAGGAGACCAGAACACAGCATTTTCTTGAGGGCATGAAATGTATCAGAATAATTAATAGGTTAATTTATATTCACTATGTTCTCATATGCCAGATCATTTTTTTGGGTCTGCTATCTGCTCCATACAAATTACACAAATGGTACTAAGCACTGTACTGAATGAATTACAAGAGGACAATAAAAGCTTTCATTAACTAATTTTAGTACCATAAGTAAATTATATTACAACCAACAATTCCATAACAATGTTTAGCCTCCATTACGAATTACTGTACAAGGCAGTTATTATGTTTGTGTGTGGGTGTTATTCATAGTGTTGAGCCTTCCGAAAATAGAAAACTCACAGGTGTCAAAACTTTAAAAAAAAACACTCACCTTATCTACCTCAACAGGTGTAGTGTGAGCTGCATCAATTATTGGTTTTGGTCGGCTGTCCTCAGCGCCGATAATGTTTGCCCACTGAGGTGGTAGTCCTACGTACTTTCCGGTACGATGGTCGAAACCACAGTGTATACGATGTTCAAAATTAGATGGAGGCGAGATAATCACTCGCTTTCTCCTTTTCTTGAACATTTTTTTTCTGTGGAAAAAAAAAACAAGATATTTATTGATTGTTAGCAATTAGCCTACTAAAAAAGTTACTCTTTTAAAAGTGAACACCATATTTGCACAGTTGTACATTTTAGGGAGATTTATGCACGCCATCTTACTATACATTACAAAATGAATCTGGATGTTTAATTTGTTGGCATAAAATGAATTATAAGGTACAGGCTCTTGACCATCAGAAAGTTCCTTCTAATTTAATTTTTTATTTATTTATTTATTATCCCAGCCAACAGCAAACATAAAATTCGCCACTTACAGGAGGGAATTTACATCAACCTAATGGTTATATGAACAGAATTATGAAGAATCGACATCATCAGAACATAACCATCTACCAGACAAATCCATTCATGCATGAGTGACTCAAACGAACATTTATATTGAGTTAAGACTTGGTGGGGAACAGTTTTGATAAATTTCAAGTCATCTAGCCATAGGCAAGTCTGTGTAGATCATTCGTGTTCTTGCTAATCTTTTCTGAGATCAAACGTAGCATCAACTTTATATGAACTTGCTATGTTAAGCCAATCATAATAACAGCTCAGGACAAGAACCTTTGATGTTTGATAAACACAAGGACTTGTATACACCAAGGTGAGAATGCTACGGTGTAGGACCAAATGCTTTGTAGTTTGTCCACTTCCATAAACTATGACTAAACATTGACAATAAATAATGCAAGGTCCATACTATTCTTTCACAATGATCTTAAACCTTGCAGACCAACAACTTCTCAAGTTTATTGCTTTAGGATATACAAAAATTATATAATTTTATCAAAATATTTGTTATCTGTATATTATTAATGTGTGCTTAGTGAATAACAGGAAAAACCTTTGCCAAATGCTTCCACAGTAGAGAAAATGAAGATAACACAAGCACTGAAATTTTTATGCAACACTAATATCTGAGCTCTAAAATTCTTTACGCAATAACCCTGCTTCATTCCCCATACACGAGAAGGCTCACGCATTCGGTGTGAGACTCACACATTTGAGGTCTGTCTCAGGCTCTCACGCTTAAGAACCTCAAGTATAATATTGCCTATAATAAAAAATATGTATAATTTGTAGCTCTCTCGCTAAATATTCATCATCTTTGTACTTAAAAATAGGATTGCTTTTACTATTACACATTCGAACACAAATAGCCTAAATGGTGCATTACACTGGGTTTAAGTTGGGTTACTTTCTAGTTTAAGTAACTCTCTCACCCAATCAAATGGAGCTGCCTACATGCGGGGCCGGGCAATACGTTGCAAGTTTTAAGTTTTCTGGCAGAGTATATCATGGCAGATACAAATTTCTCAGAGAATCTTACAATAAAGTTGGCAACAGCCAACTAGAACTTGTTTGATTCCTCTTCAAAAATGTTAGGCCAAAAGTGGCAACAAGGATGTAACAAAGAACCCGGCTCAAACTAAAAATGTAAATACACATAATTTTTTTCTTCTGATATGTCTCTTTCAGTATTACCATGTAATTTTATTTTTTTAATGGTATCTCATGTACTTTTTAGTCAATAAATTGTGATGGGGTCAATTTCTCTTAGTTTTTCGATCAGATGAGATCAAATTAGCTGCATCAATAGGGTCATTATAGTACAAACTGCCAGTGGGATATCGTGGACAGCAGAAATATGCATTCTAAAAGAATCTACAGTACAGGCACATTGGAAGGTCTAGGTAGACTACGCTTATAATTTTGATGCTGAACTATAAATATTCTATGTATGGCCTAGTTTTTCCAAAACTGCAGAAGTTAGGAATCGACTTTTGGAAATTCTTTTAGCAGAATAAAGATTCATTCTTTAAACTCAAGACATTACTGCATGTCAGTACACTTCCATTGACCTATTCATGATATATTCATGTGTTAATGATGCATGGAAAGAAACTGATGACAGAGAAGTTAGATGTGAATTGGTTAGAGATCAAGTGATTCACTGCACTAAACCCTGCTGGGATTGTAGAACTGTAAATGGAATAAAAAAAAATGGTGAGAAACTTTACAAAGACAGTCAAATGTTTATATCAACAAATATGAAAGCTGAAAAGCTACTGTATCTTTATCTGATGGCAAATTTAAATTGTTTAAATTTCTTCCACAACAATTTCACATGTCCATATACAATACCTGTCTATTAATCATACACAGAATAAAAATCAATTCATGGGAACACCACACCAGCACTACCAAGTCATCATTTGATACCAACTTAACCTAGATTCTGTGAGATTACTATTTCGGTAAAACAGTATTATCGAACGATGTCAATTTAATCATGTAGAGCAGACATGCCTATATCTAAAGACTTCTAAATAAGTAGAACAAAACAACTTGAATTGCATAGTAGAAGTACCTTGCAATCACAAAATATTTAACAATTAAAAAAAATTAAAGCAGCACTTTTGAGACCTGTCTCTTATACACATCTAGATGTGTATAAGAGACAGATAATCAAAGGCTACCCTGCAGAAAGCTATCATTAAAACAGGGAGTGGAGAATCATGAGGTGGTACCACTACTTCAAGAAGGTAGATTCAAAGAAAGTCTGAATGTGGGCTGAATGTTCTAAAAGGGTCCAAAGTATGGGGTGCTTCATGGAACAATAGAGGTCAATCTGGCTTAGAGGTCAATCTGACTTAGAGGTGAAGGACTGACTCCCAATTCTTAAATTTCAGTGGACAATGTCTGGTGTCCTATAGTACCAACTACAGTATTATTTCAGCCTCTATACATATTTTTTTTTATAATATTCTGTGAAATATGAACTAAAGTTTTCTGGTATCTCGGCCAATATTACAGGTGAACAGAGTTTGGTGACCATATAAGGCTCCTTTGCTTCAGACTGCTTTTTAAAATTAATTAACCTAGATTTCTTAGTCAAGTTTAAATAAGATCAAGACATACAACATTTACGAAATAGCGGCTAGTGTTGTTACACCAGTTTTAAACAAATTCTTAAGTATGATTGGATTTTTTTGTAACATATATATGGATATGGACAATTATATCTAATTTATTTATAATATTTGAACTTTATTTAATGAGGATGACCCGTGCAGCTCACCATTAATGGAGACCTGATACAATAGCAATAATTCAGAATGCAAAACACAGCAAGAGCAACAAAAGAAAAAATAAATAAATTAAAAAAATAATAAAATAAAATAAAAAATAATGAATAAGCTGAAGATTCACAAAAAAAAAAAAAATCACAATAAATATTCTTATATAACAGAGATATACCTATAAAATATTTTGAAAAAATAAATGCTTTAAGTTTTCTTTTTAAAGTGGCAAACAATGTGCATTGGCAAAGTTCGGTGGTAAATGAGTTTATACACATAGGGTCAAAAAAATCAAAGAAACATCTACCAGATTCTAATTTATGTTTTGGAACCTTCAGGTCCCCGCGTGCCGCTGCTCTACAGTAATTTTCATTGAACGATTTGGAAGTCTGTAAAAAGTCTACTAGTAAGATATTCAGGGCATTTACCCAGAATTAGAAATTAGTTTAAGACTAGTGTAACAATAGCCACTACATAGTAGAATTTTGTACTGCATATATTATATAAAAAGTAAGTAAAATAACTTGTTTTTTATTTAAAATTTTTGGATTAATCATACACAGAATAAAAATCAATTCATGGGAACACCACACCAGCACTACCAAGTCATCATTTGATACCAACTTAACCTAGATTCTGTGAGATTACTATTTCGGTAAAACAGTATTATCGAACGATGTCAATTTAATCATGTAGAGCAGACATGCCTATATCTAAAGACTTCTAAATAAGTAGAACAAAACAACTTGAATTGCATAGTAGAAGTACCTTGCAATCACAAAATATTTAACAATTAAAAAAAATTAAAGCAGCACTTTTGAGACTACAGTACTGTAACTTGAATAGTATTTATTCTCTTGCTTCTGTCCATACAGTGAAATCACTAGTAGACTGTACAATGTCCACTGAGTCTGTGTGGACGGAAGCTACAGAAATTCACAGGTTACCTGTAGATTTAAAAGTGCTGCTTTCATTTTTTTTATTGTTCTATAGCAGACTAATGGAGCTACACTTTGTATTCATCATAAAATATATAGAAAATTAAATTATATTGAATCTATTTCTTTTTCCTCTGTACTATTCCATAGGCCATAAATATTTTAATACATAAATAACTTTAATATACAGTAGTAGAATAATTTTTAAAAGTATTTTGTTGTTTGCTATTTGTATTTTATTGTTGTACCACTCTACAGACTTAATTTACAAAATACAGTAAGCAATCGAATTTATTAAACATAATTTTCATCTACATCAAATTGAATTGTTTTAAAAAAAATGGCAAATAGTCTTAAAACTGGTAATATCAGATTCAGAATAAAAATAAATGTGCAGGCCTTACTGTATGACATGGAACTAATAGTAGGACACACTAAATAATAATCATGCATATAGTTATAATAAATCTTACTAAAGTAGTATAAAATTAGTACATTAATATTTGACCCCCGTTTCTAAAATCAGGTTACACTGCTCTCATTCTCAAACTCAATAACAAAACCAGAAAAAAAAATCAAACCACACATGAAAAATAAGAAGCTTTTATAGAATGTTGTCTGAAAGAAACCCACAGGCTTAAGTCCATTAAGTAATACACTAAATTGTTAAACCCTCCTTGAGTCCCAGTATTACCTCTTACACAGTGATATACACACGATAGAGTAAAAAAAACCCAATATTTATTTTCCCATTAATAATACTTGAACAAAGTGTGTATGAATACAGTATCAATAATCGTTAACTACGTGAATGCACATGGCTGGTCGTGATGCATAGGCTTGCCATGTGATCAGGCACTGTAGTCTTGTTGTATTACTTGTTAGTATTACTGAAGCATAAATGCTCTATTTATTCCGTATCTAAACAATTAAAGCTGTTAAAGATTAACCAGGTGGTGGCCTGGTCTTAGCTTCATTACTGCTCCTCATTGTATCAGAATACAATTTTTTCTTATATGAGGCAATAGGTTCCCACCTGTCTGGGGAGAAATAGTCTTTTTTGGGGAAAAGTATTAAGTCTGTTCAATGAAAATACTTGGATATTACATATTGAGAGCGGGATAAACCATGATAAACTGACAAATTCACACTTAGTAGGTAGTCTTTTTCACCTTTTCACCTCTTAGGAAAGCAGTCCTTATAGCTTTACATCTGTCAGGACCCTTGGTGTTATTTTTGACCAACACCTTACTTTTGAGGAACATGTTAGCTCTATATCCAAGTCTGCTAATTACTACGTTCGTAACATTGGCAAAATCAGGAAATTTCTTAACACCAATTCGGCTGAAATACTGGTTCATTCACTGGTATCATCTCGGCTGGATTTTTGCAATTCCCTATTAAAGTAGCTGGCATTCTGCAGGAATTGCACAAGCGTTTAAAACGCATTCAGAACACTGCTGCCCGTATATGTACCGGTGCTTGGCTGATTGGCAGCCAACTTCATTGGCTGCCAATCAGGCAACGTGTTGCATTTAAATTACTTATTCTGACCTTTAAAACTCTTCATCTGAATGAAACATCATATAATTTGCGTTCATTGACTTCCCGATATACTCCATCTCGCTGTCTCTGATCCTCCTCTCAAAACCTTCTTTCTGTCACCAAATACCGTACCAAAACCTACGGTCAATGTTCTTTTACTTATGCTTCTGCCTTTTTTTGGAACCAGCTTCCAAATTACATACAGTAACTTCTTCCAACTCTATTTGCAGAAAGAAGGAGAACTCTTTTGACTTCATTTGCAAAATCGCTATACAATTCTGAACGCTACTCGCATATGCTACCTCGCAGACGTATTGACTCAAACGTTTCACTCAGAAGAGTAAGAAAACTCCAAGGTCTCATTCCCAAACCTAAACGATATAAGAACTCTGCAATCCCCTCTATAATAGGAATTCTTAATGAACTTTATTCATAAACTTATAATAATTATCGAACAGATAGTAATTTTGAATTGTATTTTGGAATTGTAATTTGAATTGTATATTTTAATTGTAGGCCTAATTATGAATTGTGTATAGTAATTTTTTTTTTAAATTCCCTTGTAAATATAACAATTTCAGTCTTTCCTTTGTTTGACTGCTGTTATATATTTTAATGTTTTATGATTGTGCAATAAAAATACCTTAATGAAATTACAAATCAAAATTTCAATGAATAGTAATAAATAATAAATAAATAAATAAACAATAATAATAATAAAAATAATAATAATAATAAATAAATAATAATACAGTAATAATGATAATATTATAACTCACTAATATTATAAACAGAAGTGTGGAGAATGCTGTTATTTTACTTACAAGGCCTAGCTTCTTGATTATGAATAATTAGGCAATGTTGTACAAAAATTTCTCTCAATGCAATAATTCTTCAACTTTGATTTATTGTTTAGATTAAAATTTGCAAATAGGCTTAGGCTATTTGTATTGGTTTGAAGATGACCAGCATATTATTTCATAAATTAAAGTTTACGAAGTCATAGGCCTAAAGACCTAGATACAATTATAAAACTTTCATGTTATTAATATTTTTATCATTCATTTAAGGCGAAATTAACATATTATCGCCGACGATTCACAAACCTACTCTGTCCGCACAACCAACCTTTCTCCTCTGCAGTGTTGACTCTTAGGAGCCACATGCTATATAGAGTAGGCTGCTAGCAACTAGGTATAGCCCTAGGCCTAGATGATAGACTTTCAAAACAAAAAGATAATCATAACGAAAAAAAAAATAAAGAATCGTCCTCACTTTATCTTCTCGAAATAATACAGCACGTCACTGATTAATTAATTCCAAAGTTAGGTAAATATGATTATATATGATATTTACAATGATATGTTAAAATCCCATAATTGAATTGTCCTCATGAACAGAATAATGAAAGAAAGTTTATGCAGCATCAGTGTTTTATAAAATTTTATAAAGCTATACGCGCGCACGCTGTTTGGTGACAACATGGCGCCCATGCGCCAAGTTGGCCAAACTCTCTCTCTATCTCATAGAGCTATTAAACAACTAGAGTGCTGACAAGATGGCGGAGCAATGCAGAGTTGTGTATGTGTACCATCCAAGATGGCTGCCGTAGG